ATGCCCCCGGCCCGCAGCCCAGCTGCACCGAGACGCCCACCTGCGCCGAGGCCTCCAGCTCCTGCACCCGGGCCTGCAGCAGGGCCTTCTCCTGCTGCAGCTCCCAGAGCAGCTCCTGGCTGGGCCGCTGCTCCATGGCGTGGCGCAGCTTGAGCGTGTGCTTGCGCTCCACCTTGCAGTCATCCTCCGCCTTCATGAGGCTGTGCTTGAGCTGGTCGACCTGCAGACCACCCGGTCAGGTGTGGCGCACCCGCGACGGCAGACCCCAAGCCCGACCACGAGCACGGCACCTCCAACTGCAGGTCACGGTTCCGCATGAGTACGGCGCCTTTCTCCTCACTCTGGCGTGCCAGGCGCAGGGCCAGGTTGTAGTTCTCGTCCTTGCAGGGGCGCCCGCCTCACAGTCCTCGCGCAGCCGCTGCACGCGCTCCTGGTGCTTGCGCAGCAGGCTGTCCTTGACCCGCAGCTCCTTGATGAAGTCGTCCTTGGAGCTCAGCAGCGCCGTCAGGTCCTGCACCTTCTTCTGCAGCTTCGTGACCTCAGCCATCAGCAGCTGTGTCAAGCCCGACTCCCCCGACGCGTCTGCGGGGGCAGCATCAGACATGCCTGCGCGGCCCTGCCTCGGCCGGCCTTGAGGGCCCGTGAGAGCCAGCCGCTGCTCATTGCCCGGGAAAGGGGTCCCGGATCCTAACCCCTCCTGGCCCACGCCCCGCCAGGGCACAGGGCAGCGGGCTCCTCTGTCCATCATGGGCTTAATGAGGTGCTCGAGGACAGGACACGCCTCCCCTTGTCCCTTCGTGGCCTGAACCTCGGGACCACCCTGTCAGTGGCAGCGGCTATGCCCTGGGAGGTGGGGCTTTATGGGGTCACACCCTCTTCTGGGGTGAATATTCCCAGGGGCTCCCACCCCTAGCTGGACCCCTCTGGAGGCCAGTGGGTGCCCAGCATGGAAGGGACCCTGGGGTCCTGGTGGTCAGGATTCACCCAGCTGGGACAACAGCGCGACTCTGAGGATGGGGTGACAGGACACCCTTCCTGGCAGAGGAGCCTTCTCCTTCCCAGGCTGGCCCCACACCCCGGTCTACCGTACCCAGCTCTGGAGAGCAGACAAGCCTGGATGGGGCCTGCCCGACAGCCTGCGCAGGCCCCCACGACTTGCCCCATTTCCAGACCTGCACGCCCGAAGTGTTGGCCCTGCGCTGGCACCGGCCCTGCAGGGGGACTACGCCATGCGGTCCCCGCCCCCATCGCCCTGCGCCATGCGGCCCTCACCTATGATCATAGAGAAGACACGCGCCGGCTCCTTGCCAGTGACCCTCTTGTAGAGCTGCGGGTAGTACAGCTCCAGGCTCTCCAGGAAGGCCACGTAGCCCTTGTGGCCGGTGCGCTGCAGGAGGTCCAGGAGCACACCTGCAGGTGTCCGGAGAGGCTGGGCTGGGGGCCGGCCACAACCAGGCCCACAGACAGGTCTGGGTGGCCAGAGGAGGTGGCCAGGGGTGTCTGGGCCCGGCTGGGAGCCTAGAGCACCACCCACTCCTTGGCCCTCTGTGGGCCTTGGCCCCGGTACGCCTCACCTCCTTAGCACCAAGCAGTGAGGTCGAGGGCTGGGGTGCCCAGGACCCCTTCACATGCAGCCATGGAGGCTGGCCCTCAGGGGGGCTCCTGGCCACAGGGGTCAGCTGGACAGGGCACCACCTGCCATGGGCGGGCTCCTTGGCCAGACCTGGGAGCCCCGCGCCCCTTCCCCCGCACTCACCCACTTTCCGCTTGCGGGTGACCAGGCTGGGGTCACTGAGCACCTGCTCCTCGTCGTCGGGGTTCAGGACCTTGCACTGCCGGAGGTAGGGTGTGATGCGGGACGGATCAATGGTGGAGGTGAGCTTCACCCGGAAGCCCTCCAGGGCACTCCAGCACGCATCCTCGTTCTCGTAGTCCGACATGGCCTCAGCCGCGTGGCTGCTGTCGGGGGGGGGCTTACTATCACAGTCGGGGAGAGCAGCTGACACAGGCCACCCCCTGCTCCCGCCCACCAGGCCACACTTCCTGTGGGTGTTGGGCCGGTCCTCCAGAGCTCAGCCTTGCCCCCCTCCCTGTCTCTTCGACCAGTTCCTCCAGAGACCCTGTCAGGCCACCTGCTGGCCCCACTCTAGCCTTTCTGTCCCCCTGCTTTGTCCTGGCAAGCATGTAGGGAGGGACAGGTGGGGCCTGAGCCAAGAACACGGTCCCTGTGCCATGACCTCCTGGCAGAAAGTCTATGGTGCCTGGAGACTCAGGGGCAGCCTCTGCTGTGGACGAGTGGGTGTGAGGACCTTTTGCACCTGGAGGCTACCCGCTGCTGGCACGTGACCCTGCCACCTCGCAGCAGCCAGGGAGCCGGCCTGTGTGGGACTTCCTCATTCCCCGTGTGTCCCAGGCCCTGCGCCCTCCTAGCCTTCCGGAGAGCCTCTGGCTGGTGATGCAACAGCAGGCCCCCGCCCAGCCTCCAGCAGCTGCCCGTGTCCCCATAGGAGCCTGTCTGTCACCTCTGCCAGGCTCGGGCATGCTGGGAGGGGCTGGTGGTGGTGGCCATGGTCAGCTGGGAATGCTGCAGTGGCAGCTACAGGTGCTCGGGCTGGGCACTGGGCTTTCCTCCTGCCCTTGGAGGTGGTCTGCACTGGGCACACCCTCTGGGTGGTCAGGTCAGCTCTCCCAGCGGCCCGCCACTGCGGCTCCTCTCACTGGCATGAACGAAGCCGCGCTCTGGGCCCGGGCAGCCTGGGAAAGCAGTGTGGCCGGGCCTCCCCACCCACCCGACCTCCCAGAACGCCGGTTTCTAGCCCCTTCCTCCACAGGAACGGGACCCCCTTCTCTGGAGACACAGGAGCAGGTGGGCTCTGGGGGCTTTCTCCACGCCGCTTCCTGCACTTTACCTTGTCCAGGCCGTGACAGTCACCAGCAGTGCCACAGGCAGCACCGGGAACACCGGGTCCAGCACCTTCTAGCCCCAAAGCCACATGGCCCTGCCCACGGCTGACTTGCCCGTTAATTCCGCAGCACAGACAAGTGTCTCCCGGGTGGCTGTGGGGGGGGAGCAGGGCAGAGCAGTCGAGGCTGCCAGGCTGGCCTGTGGTACTTGGCCCTGCCCCGGGGCACTTGCAGAGACCGACTGGCGCCCCAGCCACCTCCAGAAAGGGCACCAGGCCAGCCTACCTCAGGTCTCCAGGAGCCACCTGCTCGGGGCCGTCGGGGTCTGGGAGCGCTGTGGTGTGGGGCTGTGGGAGCTGTCAGGACAGCGAGCACTTCCTGACGGCTTCTGGAGAGCTGCACAGAGGCCTGGCCAGTTCTAGCCTGGAGTCTGCCTTCTGATTCGCCCAGCTAGGGCAGCCCCAGGAGGCGGGGCGGAGGGAAGTGGAAGTTCTCCAGCCTCCAGGGGAAGCTGCTCCAGCCCTCCTGGTCTCGCCACCCTGGTACCCAGCGAGGTGGAAGTGTGCCCCAGGCCCGGCCCCAGGCTGGGTGAGGCCAGCCCGCGGCGCAGCAGCTTCAGCCAGGACGCAGGCTGCGGGGGCGGGGGACTCGGTGCTCGGCACCTTGGCCCTCACCACCTGCCTCGGGGACGGTGTGCCGTGTTGCGGCCGGCTGGTGTGCTCAAGCCTGTGGGGCAGCTGGGGGCAAGTTCGGTCCTGGCACAAGTGGGCACGTGGGGCTCAGGGGCCCACTGCAGCCTGCACTGCTCTGCCAGGATGCCCCGTCTCCTCCAGGAGTGTCCATGCTGTCCGCCTCACTCAGGCAGCCCCACCCTTCACCTCCCTCCCTGCCAGGGGTTCGGACGCCCCCCCCGGGGGACTGTGGATGGGAGAGCGAGGCGGTGCCTTTGGGCAGGGGTGCAGGGAACCCCGGCTCACCCTGGCCTCACCCGGTTGAACGGCTGCCACCTGCCCGGGTGAGGCCACACTAGAGGAGGCAGGGCAGCGCCTGAGTGCAGCCTCCCCCCCAGGAGCTCCCCTGCCCTGACCCCAGCCAAGGAGGCGGCGGCTCCCAGCCCTTCCTTCCCACTCCTGACCTGGTATAGGGCTGGGCATTGGGGCCCTGGTCGGCAGGAAGCCACTCCTGGAGCAGTCGTGCCCGCTGGGGAGGGGGACTGGGCATAAGCCAGGGCCCTGCCCTTCCCCACAGGGGGCAGCGTCAACCCCAGCCCGGGTTCTTGTTTGCAAAAGGAGGGCACTGCTGTGGTCCTGGCAGGGGTTATTTTCTTTTAAAATCCTAGCCAGAGGGCACACACACACACCCCCGAGACAGAGGGGAAGTGAGGAAGCACCCTGTGGGGAAAAGCCACCTGCAGCCCCGGCTCCTCAGCTGGACTCCGGGCGTGCACACGTGCCTGGCACGTCTCTCGGGCCACTGAATCTGAGAGCCGACCCCCGTAGCCGGCCAGGTATGCCCCAGCGGCCTCAACTCCCGAGCCACAGGCTGGCCTGGTGTCTGTTGTTTTAAACGGTTATTTAATTTTATTTATTATTTTTAAATTTGCCACAGGACACATGCTCACTGAGGGCTGAAGAGCAAGAGAGCAGACTGCCAGGTTTGGGGAGTACAGTGCCTTTACCACCATGCCACCTGTTGGCCCCATGGTTGGTTTGTTTTTAAAGAGATTTTGTTATAGGGTACGTGTGCTCTGCCAGAGAGCCGGAGACAGAAAGCAAGAAATCCCCCCTAGAAGATGGCCACGCCACAATCCCTTCTCCCAGGATTTTGGGCACACAGACATGTGTCCAATGTGAGTTTCAAACTGCTGGGTCTGGGACTTGAACTGCCACCGGCCATGTGGGAGCTCAGCGCCTTAACCATGACACCACCTGCTGCCCCCCCACCCCCGTGTTAAGAACCATTCTTCAGCCACGTCAGAGTAAACCAGTGACAGACACCTCAGAGTGGTGGCCAGACGGCAAGCTGCTCAGCACCCCCAGGCCAGAGGGAGTCGCGGGCAAACTAGGGACTGGACCCGGGTGGGGCTCAGGGGGAGGCTAGTCCGAGGACACGTGGTCCATCTCCCGTACTGAGCACAAGCACACACAACGTTGGGGCAGCATCTCTGGACCAAGACGAGGGGGCGGCAGAAGGGAAGGGGCACCAAGACCAGGGCCACCAGGCTTGGCCTTCTGGCTGGCGACACCAAGAACCACAGCCACGTGGGAGGGCCAGGGGCGGACAGTGGCAAGGCCTGAAGGTGACGGGCTGAAAGCCCTCCTGCCATACCTGTGCCCTCCAGGCCTGCCCGTGTGCCCGCAAGGAACCACCTGTGCCAGCCCTGGGAGGCCCCACAGACACCTCTTGGTTTCTATCACAAGGGCCTCTTCTGCTTTAACTCGAAGCCAGAACGTGAGTTTTATTGCTGTGCACACCTACACGGGGCCGGCCACGGTGCAGCGGGCTCTCTGCCTGCACAGCCTGCTCCCCGTCTCGGACAGAGGCGTCTCCGCAGGGCAGTGGTGCGCTTCCAGGCCAGGGGAGTCCACACCCTGGAACATAAGGACACGCTGACGGAAATGCCTGACCCTGCTGGACCCCACCGATGACACCTGGGTGACAAGAAACTAGCTGGCCCTATGCCACGGGGTACATGGGGCTGGGATGGGCCTGGCTGCCCCCGTCAGCCAAGGAGGGAAACACTGAAGACAGGCCTGGAGCGGGCTGTGTAGACAGTTGGTTAGACCGGCCCAGGTACCCCAGCCCTTCCCAAGGCCTCCTGGGTTCCAATGTGTGGCTTTGGACTCTGGCCTGCCCACCCGGGTCCCAGCGTGCCCATCCCCACTGGCAGGCAGATGCGCTGTGCAGCCAGAGGCAAAAGTGCCTGTCATCAGAGGCTGGCGGGGTGACATCAGGACAGAAGTGAGGACTTGGGCTCAGCAATGTGGCCACAGGGGCATGGCAGCAGTGGTGGTGGCGCCTCTGAGGAGGGAGAGGCTGAGTGTGCCCTGCAGAGAGCGTTGTGGGCTCCTCTCCCAGTTCCATGGTGGCCCACCCCAACTCACCTGCCCTCCCGAGAGTCGCCTCCGCTTCCGGGCGTGCAGGGCGTGCCGGGTTCTGAGCACATCAAGGTCGGCAGCTGCGTCCAGGCAGGATGGGACTGGGCCCTTGCAGGGTCCCAAGGCTCCCTGAAACAGCCCGGATACAGGGGACAAAGGTCCTGAGGATGTGGTGGGGCGCCTCCCGACCCCCATACCAGGATGGACAGGTGCGCTTGGCGGCAGGAGCTGCTCCAAGAAGGGGCTGCCCCTCCAAGCCGTGTCCCAACTGACACGGGACAGTGCAGGGAAGCCGTTCCCTGCTCCTTGGGGTCCCGCAGCCTTTCCAAGAAGGTTCTCTACCTACTGCCAGCCAGGACACCCTGGGGCTCAGGATGGGCGTTCCTGGCTGCACTGCCTGCTGGGAGACCTAGGCCCAGCTGCCAAGGCAGGTAGCCGAGGGCCGCCAGGCCCCCACTAGGGCCACAGTGGCAGGAAACAGCCCCGCTAGGGCTCTCCAGGTGCACAGCCAGGTGTGGGGAAACAGCCCAAGCTTTTATTTCAGAGGCCTCACCGTTGAACTGGGCCATGCAGCATGACTGCACGGGCTCACTGTCCTGGCCTGACATGCTAAGTTCTCTTCAACCCTACCCTCTGCCTGTGACCAGCAAAGTCCCCTCAGGGGAGTGGCCCTCCAGACGTCAAGCTGACAGCTCTCCAGCCCCAACCCTGCACTCCCTGAGTGGCCAGGCAGGCTCCCCTCCTCCACCCCCCACCCACCCAACTTCTGCCCAGGACAGGCATGCGGCAGGGCAGCAGGCAGCCACTTCCTCCCAAGGCCCAGCAGCCGGCGCTCCTGCCCACAACCCACCCCAGCCCCGCCACAGGGAAGTGGGGCCGGCCCGGACCGCGTCTCACCTCCACAGGGCTGGGTGACGGTGCCACGCAGCCTGGCTGCCGGCCCTCCAGCTCGCCCAGGTTCTCATCCTCACTCTCAGGCTCTTCCTGTATGGCTGACAGTGTGGTGGGGACACCGTGGGGGGACAAGGTGGCCAGGAATGCAGGGAGGGTGAAGGCCGCCAGAAACC